CTGTAACATTGGGGGGACACAGTATCGGTTAAGTTAATCAGAAAAATCATGTTCTTTTACAATCATCTTTAAATACTGGTTTTTAGTGTCAAATCGCTTTTGTCCGTTTCGTTACTGGGAAGTATAGTTTCGCCATATTTTCGGCCGGCCAGACGTTGGCTAGTAAGATTGAATAGTAACAACGTTTACCTAGCAAGATTGTACTTAGTTAGATGGTTTGATCACAAACATCAGCTTAACAGTCAAATCAACAAGTCTAATGTTAACAGAAAGAATTATCCTCCTGGACAAATCTGATTACTAACTCATATTTCCTTCTCTTTCTTTTCTTCCCCATAAGAAAGGAATCACTTTATCTGAGCTGCTGCTGGTCTTTCTCATCTTCTTAACCTCTGACCTGAGTTGCCCAGCTGCCAGACCTTCCTCCAGTAAAGGAATAGAATCATTGGTCTGGTCCCTAAAAAAGTCGTAATAGAAAAGTTTAACTTAAAAATGAAAAGTCCAAATCTCTTTCTAAAATTTGCACTAGCAATAGTCGTTGCGGCAGTAACGAATTTGGTAGTGTGAACCCATTTTTGCTTGCACGGCCTGAATTACCTCTTGTGTTTGGATGTGACGCTCCGCTCTGCATCACTTACTAGGCGAGCCATACGATGGGACGCTTAGACGGTGTATTTTGGCTCCGGCCCAATTGGCGAGGAGGACACAGACTACACTAGCAACAAAAAAATGACGTTAAAAAAACAACCCTAAAATCCATTGTGGGGACTAATAAAACGCGATGTGGGAAAAAAAAATTTGAAAACGGCTATGTGGGGCATACCGCAACCGGTTCACGGGACTGGCGGCGTGATCCTGTGCTGCGATCTGCTCTGAACTGCAAGGCTGGGACTGGGGTGCTCCCCTGCCAGGTAAACTCATTCCTACGCCCCTGTTGAAGAGTATTTTAACTGGTACGACTCTGACATTTAGGTTAGGAGAAAACCGAAGTCAAAACATATAAAGTACCTCAAACTGTTCACCACCAGTTAATAACTTCAGCATTTTGCACTACACTAAGATGTTCTGTTATTATTCTGGTAGTATTGCACTGTTACCACTCCTGTAAGGATCGTGTGGCCTCAGGCAAAGTCGGATATAAATAACTTACAGTAGTTCAGTAAGATTCTTCTAAAAGAAATGGCTGCACCTGGTAACCACAAACATCCAATGTGTTTACATTTAAAAGACAACTGATGAGGTTGATAACATCTCTTTTCTGTTTCTCTTCACAGCTATAAAGACTACAGGAGCAATGAGGACTACAGTTTAACCCCACAGTTCTGGCTAATTCTAGCTGTGCGCTTTGCATTTGTCATCCTGTTTGAGGTTAGTCTTAATCATGAAACAAACAAGAAACCTAACCTACTAAACACAACTTTTCTTATATTGATTTCTTGAACTGTCACACATTAACAGTACAGTCAACTGGGCTGTAACAGAAGCTGAAAGCGTTTAGTGAAACCATATTTTCACAGATTAAAAAAAGGAGATTACATTCCTAACATTTTCCTCTCCGCTTGCAGCACGTTGTTGTCATATGCAAGTTTGTTGCAGCCTGGTTTGTACCGAGTGCTCCCATGCAGGTCAAGAATGACAGACTCTTTGATAAACTCAACAGACTAAAAGAGGAACTCAGGTAAGTCTCAAATAATATGCGGTTAGACTGGCGTGGCGGCCAAGAAAAATACAATCTTGCTCAATGGTTTTTCAACAGTTTTTTAATACAGACGCTGCAACTAACCAATCCTTGCTTTTATTTCTTACAGTTCATTCAATGTGTGACAGCATTCAGACACTTTAATGTTACACATTTTTCCCTGAGGACACGAACCCAGTGTTGTGCATTAAAGTGTCCAGACTATCACAGTGTTGAGTCACCTTCAAAGCCATTAATAATCATCTCTCGGAAGAGTTCAGACGGAGGGCTCTCACTCTTTTTTATTGTTTGCAGTCAAATGTTCAGTGCTGGATTCTCATCGTTGAAATGGACTTTGAAGACGGACTAATTTTTCTAGGACAAAACAAGTGTACAGTAACTGATTTTACTGACCACGTCTTTCATGAGATTATTCTTATTCTATTTTAAGAATGCACTGATAGCTTACTGTTGGATCTCTATATTTGTGAGATGTATGTGAGTGTTTATATCGAAAGCCTAAGCATAATTTATACTGCTACTGCACATACAGTACTGATTGTGTGTTACGATGTTGCCTTATATTGCGATGAATGTCATTACTGCAGAGTGAATCTGATAGTGTCTTTTGTGAATCAGGCACAGGAATGTTTTGCATTATAATATTTTATATTACTGAATAAAAGAGGAAACTTTTGGCCTCATGTAATGCCTTTTAAATTAATGTTTAATCATTTAAAATGTGTGTCATAGTGCTGGTGTCATGTGCCTTTTTTGTTTAAACTACAGTAGAGATTTTTTATGCTATTTTCCAACTATTTTCAAGCCAATTGATGTAATATAATGGCTAAAAATTTAGGAAAAACATGATCCTGTAGAGCCTACATCCTATTGTCATACATCTATAAATTTTCATTTTAATTATTGTCTTTATCATTACGAAACCAGAACACAACAAACGTTGATGATGACTTATTTTCTCTCCTGCCACCTAAAAAGAAGCGAAACATGTCTGATGTTATTTCTAAGAAACAACATATGAAGGGTAGGAATTGGGTGTAAACAGCATGACTAATCTTGAAACCTGTTTTTGTTAAACTATGCTGGAGTTCACAGTATTAACATTTAGCTGACACATCTGCTGCACGTGAATCCATATGCGATAACACTGCAATAGATGGTGATAAAGCAGAGAACTTTTGCTTTTGAGGCGAAATAGATTAGTAGCAGTAGCAGCATACACTAGATACATAAATTAAACATACATTAACATTCAAATTAAAACAAAGTTTAAGTTATTTTAAAGCCTAGTTCAGTGGATTGAATGACCTGAGGAGGACTTTACACTGTAATTACGTACAAGTCCCACATGGTGCTCCTTTTAGGCTTTATTCTATTATTTCTTAATATCATTATCTTTACATTTCAATCTGTTTATGCACCAATGATGTATTTACCAAACTCAAAAGCAGTTTAGTAATCACGCATAAAGTATTGTATAAAGGATTAGATTAGATTAGGTGTGTTTCGGTCCGTTTTCCTGTCTCTCCAGTTTCTTTCAGTTTCACTGTAACGCAGGTGAAAGCCCGTGCAACCGTCACGTGACCCCGGCCAGCCAATAGCAGCCGGTTTCAGGTCTCTCCAGGTGCAGTTGTTCAGCAGGACGCCGTCGTCTGCGCAGTCACCTGTACGGCCGCTGCTCAACGTAACTAAACTGTAATAAAGTACCACGTTGTCTCATAGGTGGTGATGTAGCGTCAGAAAACTGTGTAAACTCGGTTCATTTCTCACCTGAGGAAGGAGGAAGAGGACGACTGCGGCTCATGGCTGTGATTTTAGTCGCTTTCATATTGGCGTGCATTGAATGGGACAAGACTTTCCTCGCTACCGGTAAGGATGCATACAATGTATAATCTTATTTACTTTCATTTACTCACGGTAGGTTTACACTTTATTGTGAAGTCCAGTTTTAAAAAGCATTAAATGTGTTGATAGTTGTAGGAGTCGCTTTGTTTTGTTATTATTCTTTTTAAATATTATTCAGTATTAACTATTAGTATAGTACTATACAATCACAGTCAGACTTACGGGATGCTGGATGGGTAAAATACAGGTCAATGCACATCCAGTCAGTGTGTACAGGGTCACAGTATCTGTCTGCAGTCACATGATGTTGCCTGGCAACATGAGGACCAGAGCCGGACTTTGGACCCGGATGTGTGTCCCTTTGTGTGAGAAACGTTTAAAAAATAAATGCATAAATAAATAAATAAAACAAAGTGAAGTGGAAGAGGAACCAGAGAGGGCAGTTGTGCGGGTTATGTATAGTTTTGATCATAGTCACGGTGAGCGCATGCGCGGAATATCTAGAAGAACAGGTCCAGTTTCAATAGTGTTGTTCTCATTAGTTATATTGTTTGAGGTGTATTTTAAGTCTGTCCTGACAGACTGGCAGTAATATACGATTAAATAGGCCCCTTTTACATTGAATATGTCCTCAAACAGAAAAGAAGTCAGTGTTTTATTTTTAATCTCAGCAAAACACCACTTTGCTCAGAGTCTGCCAGGGTGAAAGAGCTCACCTTCCTTCGTGTACCATTAGACACTCGCTCTTTATCAAAAGATACACTGTTTGCATCCACAGACTGTATGCAAAGTGTTTTTTTTTCTGAAGAGAGCAAATCCACTCCTACTGCGCGGTATTTGCTTGCTGCACGTATTCGATCACACACCATAACGTAGAGCTGCACCAATCCAGCAGTCAGGATTGGTATACTGCCCTTACTGTGGCCTGGCTATGACATGACCAACATGTTAAATACAGTTTCTTAATTCATGGCAAGTTGTGACTCACTTTTTAGTGCCACAGAAATCCCTGGCCTCATATGTTGCAGGATCAGTGACCCTGACTGGAGGGATCAGAATCAGTTTTGGGACGGAACAAGTTGTATTGTTGAATCTATAATGTAAAGGAGACTGTGTAAACTCCCTCTGTTTCTATTTGTAGCTCAGACCTGTGTGGATGAGAGCAGGTTTAAAGAGCAGGTGCTCTATGTGGGGCAACAGGGGCCTCCCTATCGGCTGAACTGCCCTCTGGAGCCCCAGCTCGCGCTCACCTGGCAGAAGGACTGTCAGCAGCTCCTCACACAGGAAGGGAAAGCCTACGTGGAGTTTGCCAGCCTCAGCTCGGAAGACCAAGGGAATTACACCTGTATGCAACAGGGCAACAGCACAGCCTCGTTCACTGTGCGTCTCATAGTTAAAGGTACGTATTATTATGTGTAAGTGTAATGAAGTCATCTCATCACCTGATACTGCAATTGTGTGGCTTTCGCAACACGCTGTTATTTGTCCCTGCAGTAGAGTTTGTGGGGGTTGCAGGGTCTAGTTGAACGGATATACCTGCAAGAAGGCATTTTGTTTCAGAGTGCCTTCCAGCAGCAGGCGGTGCTTGGCAGTGCACATGAAGGCCTCTATTGTCTGGAGCTCCTGCAGTGAACACAGATAACACTGGTATGTCTTTACACAGAGTCCCAGTGCTCCAAAGCCCCAGACTTTAAACCTCATGGAGGCCTGACCAGACTCTGGAGCAATGTTGGATCTACTGAGATACTGAACTGCACTGCTCTCCTCCTCTGGGAGCCAGGAGAGGAGCACTGTGACACCACGCTGCAGTGGAGTAAAGATGGCCAACCTCTCACCAATCACACACTTTACATGCAGAATATCTCCTCATGGTGATTTGAAGCTTTTAAAACAAAAGTTTTACAGCATTAATAATGTACCTGCATGCAAAAAAAGGTATCTGAGAGTGGAAGTAAGATCAAGTTTTCTGTCCTACTTTTCAGGTCTCCTGTTGCCGGCCAGCTGATGGTAAACAGTCTACTGGTGATCACCCTCAGGGAGCTGGATGATTTTGGGCTTTACAGCTGCGCAGTGAGGAACATTTCCTCTGACTTCAGCCTTCAAAATTCAAGTAAGGCGACTACATACTAGAGTTATTTACCAGTGTCGGTATCAGCGATTACTCGGTGTCTGTGCACCGATCTAATACCACATAATTTATTAGCTCCGAAATGGGACCCTGCTACTTACCAGCAGGGTCCCATTTGCCATTTCCCCCCCCCCCCCCCCCCCCAGAATAGTGGAAATTATAACCCCCCACTGCGAGGCTGTGGACAAAGGGTTTAACCAGAGTCAGGCTAAATCCCCTTAAAAATGATTTTATACTGTATGTATATACATTTTTAAGGCACATTGTTTTGGATTGGTACTCGGTATCGGTTGATACACAAAGTTCAGATATAAGAATCTGTATCGGGAAGGAAAAATTGAATCAGAACATCTCTACTAAATACAAATACCTACTATGATGGATCTCTTACATGCTGTCCTGCATCTTGTGTTACAAAGATTATCCAGCCAAAAAGGAAAAAGACACACGAAAAGTGCACATCAAAACTATCCTGAGGAAGTCAGCCAGCTCCACTGATGATTTAGAGATTTGATACCTTTTGTTTTATATTACATACAGCAACTTAACTAGTGATGGAGGGAATGTTTATGCCGCACACACAGATATGTCCAGTTGGTATAATTTTACAGTCTCTCTCTCTTATAATAATATTATAAGAGAGATGTCAGCACTCGACAAACAACATAAACAAAATTCAGATTATCTGTGAATTATTAACTGTTGTTCAATTTTCTATTCTCTTAATTTTTCTTTAAATGAAGTAAATGAATCCATATTCCGTAGTTTGGGGTTGTCAATTCTAATTAAAGTATTGATTATTTTAAGCTTATTTTTAAGGCTGAGCATTTAAAATACATCTCATCAAAAGTGTCCTGACTTACAAATCTTGTTCTCGAAACATATTTATATATATATTTTACATATTTTTTTCAGTAAAATTAAAATGTCATTACAAAATGATCATTTCCACCAATCATGAATCATATCCCAATATCTGTTAAAATAATTGCAATTTCTTTGTTTTTTTCGTATCATGCAGCCCTACTTATTTTAAAATATTGTTTGCTCAGGCGGCCCCAGCCACACAGGTGCTGTTATTGCCGCCATTGTCCTCCTCCTGATCCTGACTGTGGCTGCTGTTGTGTACTCCAGGTGTCACCTAAACATCAAACTCTGGTACAGGAACTCCTACGGAGACTATGAGCTCAATGGTGAGACATCTGTTAATGTGACATAAGGTTGCTATACTCGTTTATAAGACTGTAGTATTAACACCACTAGTGTGTTTGTGTCTCCATGTCTTCAGATGGCAAATTATATGATGCCTATATCTCCTATGTGAACAATGACCATGACAGGAAGTTTGTTAACTTTATTCTCAAACCTCATCTGGAGAATAAAAATACGTACAAGGTGCACCTCAATGACAACGATATTCTACCTGGCTCAGGTAAGCTTTCTATAGTTAAATAGAAATAGTGTGTGTGTGTCAGTGTGGAATATATTCAATCCATTGTTTATGCAGTTTTTGTTGGTTTTAATCTTCATAGTCCATTTATTTTGATTCTGCTGATACAATCCTATTTCAATACCTGTTATTCTGGGCTGTGATTCAGCCAATTTGAAAGCTGCCCATTTTTTTATAATTTAACAACAATATCATGTGTCTCCAGAACCTTCTGCAGAGCTGCTAATGAACATGAGTCGCTCTCGGCGTCTGATTGTGGTGCTCTCTTACGCGTACCTTGAGCAGGACTGGTGCTCCAATAACTTCAGGTCAGACTCACACAGATGAATTTAATGTAGAAACAAACAGCACTGTTCAAACAGCTCTTTGTGTATTGTATAAAACAGTGTAAAATGAATGTGGCATCATTACAATGTACCACTTGAGGTCAGTGTTGCTGCTGTATACCACATTGTCTACAGTATGTGGTATCATGACGTACTGTGGCTGTGTGTTTTCAGACAGGGCCTTCTGCACTTGTTGGAGTTATGTCAGCGTCCCATTCTCATAATGTTGGAGGGTCAGTCCAAACGCATGAGGCCTGAGATCAAGCAGCTGCTCAGTGAGCACCAGCACCGCCTCACCGTACTCACCTGGAGGTACAACTCTGTGGTAAGATCAGCAAATATATTTATCTAATATATAATATATAAAGCAAAAGCAATGATATGAGTAATTACAATAAAGGCTGGGCGCCCGTTTAGCTCAGTGGGTAGAGCTGGCGACCTGTGTACCGAGGCTGAGTCGTTGCTGCAGCAGCCCAGGGTTCAAGTCTGACCTGCGGCCCCTTGCTGCGTGTCATCCCCTCTCTCTGCCCCCACTTCCTGTCTGCCTCCAGCTGTCCTATCAAATAAAGGCATAAAAGCCAAAAAAAATATACTTTAAAAAAAAAGAAAATAATAATTAAAATAAAAGCTAAAAATGTTTAAATAACACGATTATGTGTATGTTAAATTGGATGTCAGCCAACTTACAAGAAAATATAATTATGCGAATACATATTTGAATATATACATGGAAAAAAACTAAATAAATTAAATTGTAAGTATTTTTCTAGAATATAAAATATTCATGGTTAAATCAACAATTAGAGTTTAAGTTCTTTTTTTTTCTTTTTTTTAAAGCATTTAACACAGAGCTGACTGAGGGATTTAAGGCAAAGGGATTATATATTGCCAAAGCCAAAGTCGATTTTTGATGCAGTGGAAATAAAGTAGGGATATGATCTCAGTGTAGAAATGTGTTTCAGTATAATTGAATACATATACATTAAAATGAGAAATACAGTTTATACTATATATTACGATACATGCAAGTAAAGCTTATGCAGTTTGGAAACTACCGTTGAGTTTGACTAATGGCGTGCTGTAATGTGTTTGCTGTTCACAGACTCCCTCCTCAGTCTTCTGGAAGGAGCTGTCCTTAGCGATGCCTCGCAGAGTCTTCTTCCACAGTGAGTCTGCAGGCGACCCTCAGACTGTGCTACAAGATGACAAGGACCCCATGCTGACCGTCGACCCTGACTACCTGGACTGCCGCTCAGACACTGACCCTGCTGGAGATCTGGGTAAGAACAACAGCCACTGGTCTAGAAAAGCACTTATGTTGGGTTCACTCCTCACATAAAGATACATATGCAAATAACTGCATATGTGATAAATGCCATTCAATGTTTTTTGCACATGCAAATGAAATAAATGTATATGAAGCTGCATTGCACAATGACAGTGCAAGGTGATTGTGTTTCTCTGACCTAGAAATGTAAATGCTTGTCAACCGTTTGGCCTTTCTTATACTTCTGTCACATCAGAAGTAGAATATAAAATTATAGCCTATATACAAGTCTCAACCTGATAGAGACTCATTTCTCTTTCTCCCCACGCAGTGTGCAGTTCAAACATATTGTACTTGACCTAGTTTAAAACTAGTTTGAGTCAATAAACAAAGAGACTCAAGTGCAGTTAATTTAATTTAACTTCAGTGTTTGTGATGTTTTGTATGAGCCATATTAAGCAGACATGAGAGTACAATACTTTCATGTTAAAGGAATAGCTCAGCATTTGCTAGCTTGTTGAGAGTTAGATGAATAATTCAGTATCACTCTTATATCCCTCACTTAAATATGAAGTTATAGCCGGTTAGTCTAACTTAGCACAAAGACTGCAAACAAGGAGACGGCGAGCCTGGCTCTGTCCAAAGATAACTAAATCTGCCCAGCAGCACCTCTAAAGCCCAATAACATCTTGTTTGTTTAATCAGTTAGGACAATGAAGTGTATAGACAACAGACAACACAAGTCCCTCTGCTGGTCCAATAAATAAACCTCATCCCAAGTAAAACCACATCCTGACAGTTTTATGGTTGTTGTGAGGGGTGAGGGTCAGAGCAGCTGGTAGACGGATTTTGTTATCTTCAGACAGAGCCAGGCTAGCCCCCCCCCTGTTTCCAGTCTTTATGCTAAGCTTAGCCAAACAGCTGCTGGCAGTAGCTCCATAATGGACGGGCAGATATGAGAGTGGTATCGACCTTCTCAAAGCAAATTACAAACTATTCCTTTAATGAGTTCGACTCATCTTGTCACTGTGAAGTAAAGTAGAAGTATTTTACCCTTGTGTGTCTCTTCCTCTGGGGGCAAAAAGCATAAATGACCAAAACCAGAATTGAACTGAAATTAATTAACATTAAAAAAATCACGATATAGCTCAAATAGTAAACACTACAGCAGTGAAAAATCTAATGCACTTGCTTTGATTTTGGATATATTTTCCACCTCTTTCTCTTTCTGTTGCAGGGCTTCGCCTCCCTGTGTACAAAGCTCTGGCCTGTAAAGCTCCCGTCCTCCCCGTTGCTCCTATCACTGTGGCTGAGCCTAAGCCCTCAGACATCGACGTGTCGGACCTGGGATCACGCAACTACGGAGCACGTTCTGACTTCTACTGCCTTGTCACTGAGGAGGACCTTTGATCCACAGTCCCTCACTTCTGTTGAAAAGGAACGCCTACATGGAGATCCTCATTAGCTTTGATTTATATTTATCCATGTCAATATGGTAAATTGTTATGTTTATTTTCTGTAGTGTGTGATGTTAAAATCAAAGTGTTACCTCTTTCTGTTTCCACTTAACCAAAGACCTATTTGTTACTGTTGTGTAAAATATTTTATTATATATTGTACAAGAAATTATCTGAAATATTTGTGTCAATCAGGGAAATGAGTAGCTTACTGTACATACTGTATAGAGTTTATTATTGATTGTCATTTCACAGCCAAGATCTCCAATTAAGTCCCCAGCAGAGGGCAGAGTAATGTCAGAAAAGATGCAGGAATTCTGCTTTTTAAGCAGTTTGGACTTACTTGACAGCTGACAGTAAAAGGGGGGTTGGGAAAGACAGAGAAGATACATGTGACAGAGGTCTAAAGTCAGATTTGAAGCCAGAACACTGATATCTGTTGGCACACCAGTCAGCTGAAGCAGGATGACACTTATGACTGAAGTACTCACAGACATTTCTGTACAGTTTTTTGTGTGTGATGTAAACCGACTGATAACAACAGGGCTGTCTAATAAAGCAATTTAACCAAATACCTCTCTGTCTCTCTGTACTGTAGAGGCTGATGATCTCTGTCCTCATGGAGTAATGATTACCTGTGGTGAAATAAGAGGCTAAATAAGGGTGCAGCAGGGAAGGTCTGGTATTGTTCTTGTCTGAGCAGGAGCAAATATGTAAACAGGGCGTGGTCCACATTTCACCATGTTAGTGTCAGTCTGTTACAGCTTTACCAAACGCTGCAGCACACACACGAGAAACAAAATGACAAAATGACATTTCGTTTCCAAATCTGTTTCTTTATTAGCTGAAAAATATCCAGATGATACATCTGCCTGCATACAACACAAAAGCAAATATTGAAACAAGTCACAGAAACACAAGGTCACCATTTATACCACAGAGCTGTAAGATTTATCTCTATGACTCCCGCCATTGTGTGTTTGACAAAGTAACAAACACATCAGCATTTATAAGGACAAGACTGAGATTTCGCAAGCTTACAAAGCATATAACTGAAAACAAAAGTCAACTTTGGAAGCTCAATCATCCCAAGATTTCTCAATCAAATTTATTAACATCCTAATTTCAGCGATTGGTATTTGTGTATTGTGCAAGATATAAATATATATCCTGTGGCTTACATACAATTTGAACTAAAATGTTATAATTTTGACTCCATATCAATCCAAAAACTACAAAAACAAAGTAAATTGTTACGGTATAAAAAAAACATTTGATTTCTACGTAAAAGCGAAAGCAATATTTACAAAAATGCCATGTTAGTACCACATTTGTTTGCATTAATGCTGAAATTGAGGTGCAACAGTGAGATAAGGCACAAGGGTCCACCTATTGTCCATCAACAGCTTTTTCAACCAATTAAAAACCGCAGAAACAGAAACAGCCGCAGTTTAATCTGAAAACATGTTGCTTTGAAAGAAAATAAATCCCTGATTTCACATTAAAACATACAGTGTTCAACAAAGAGAGTAAACGGGTTAAGGTGCACACATTTGTCCATCCATAGTCCACCGAACAGGATCCACATTCCTTGAACTGTACAGACTGTCCATCGAGTTTTAAAAATACACTGGACTCCTTTTCCATCGGGTAGATCCTACATCGGGTGTTCATGTTCTCATCACAAAGTATGGCAGACAAAAACTGAACCTATGTTATCTTTGAATAGTATAAAAAGTCTATTTACTCCCACACATCTTCCAAAGGGGGCTGGTAGAGTGCAGAACTGCTAACTGTTGCCGAACAGTGGTTTTACATTACGTTTACTTCAGATTGAAATATCTAAGAAATCCGGTCTTGTATACCCTTTCTGCAACACAAAGAAACAAAGAAGATAGTGTTATGGCATTGTATGAACATGAAACACATACAAAATTATTGTGTATAATTAAGTATTTATTTAAATATCAATTAAACTGTACACCACAGGGGTGTCAACAACAACTCCCTCTGTGTTGAAATTTGACCTGGAGGGACCTTTGAGCTCACAATACAACACAATCAGAGGTTTTGTTTAAACGACGTGATTCCAGTTTATGTACATACTTTTGTTCCAACATGATGTACGATAGACTATTAAAATTCAAACTTTATGTGAGACAAGTATTAACAAATTTATTTTTTTTGCTCTGTTGGGGCTTGTTCTTTAGGAAATAGGCTACACACCACACCCTTGGGAGGGGCAAGTCGGGATCTGTGAAATGCAGTAAACGCACCTGGCCCTGCCCAAGACAGGGACTTACAGGACTGGGTGTGTATGTGTTGAAAGAGCAGCAGTGTGAGCAGTCAGAGACATATGTGTTTTGAACATGTGTCATCCAACTGACAAGGGAATTGCAGTGAGAGAGGAATGTCATCTATACATGCACACACACACACACACACACACACACACACAATCTCTGTCACTCTCACTCTTTTTTTACACACACACACACACGCAGATTTGAGAACAAGGGTGGGGCTCCATGAAGAAAAAGCTTTTCCACTGAACTTTTGTGTGGCAATTGACAAACAGAATGTAACTTGTTGTTCTTGCCATGTTAGAGGCTAACATGAGTGTGTTTTTGTAGTATGTGGATCACCATCAAAGAGTGTCTTAATAAGATATAAGTGCTTCATAGTCACACATAAATATAAGTTGGTAATTACATTTTCATTCATCAAGTATATCTAGGGATATCTGTGCCCTCCCAAACCTTTCAACACGTTTCAACACACTCATTCATGTTTAAAAAAGTTGCTGCTGTGTGATTTGATGGTTACATAATAGAAAATTATGTTTAACCTCAAACATTAAATCCGCTGAGTACCTCTCCTCAGTTTGTTTGGCTACTCGATCATCAATCATGCAGAGCTCCTTTTTAGTAATTTCTACAGCCTCTTACCGTTTTGTATGAGCTGTGCAGTTTCTTGTACTGGAACATGTTGCTGAGAACTGTGGCTGCTGCTTTGGCTGCTTTAAGCTTCCCAGAGCTGTGAAGAAAGATTCATCCAAAGTTAACACTCTGTACAAATTTCATGCAGATGTCTGTATCAGGGTTCACATAAGTACACAACTAGTACAGCATGTTGAAAGATATGTAATAAGACATATATATAAATAATCTGGAACAATGATGTGTGTCTCTTTTTCCCCCTTAAAATCCTGAAAATACTTAAATTTAGTTGATTTCTCTAGTTTTCCTGCTGGATACAAGATGTCTCCTACTTCATTGTAAAGTCAATTCTCTGTGCACCGGTGGCTTCAGGTTTCTACAGCACACATGTACATGCTGGTTGCATACTGGACTTCCAAACTATTTGTGATGTCACAAATTTAGCTCATAGGCCCCGCCCCTTAAAATCTGATTTTCAGTGAGCACAGAGAAACTTTCCACTTTCAGCAGAGGAATGTGAAAACATCCGTCTAGTGTCAAACTCTGCACA